GCTGATCATGTTGCCTTTCTCATGGAGAAGCCGGAGAATTTCAGCCTTGTCTTTCAGGGCTTCCAAGATGCTCCCAGTTGAACATCTTGTGGTAGAAGACCAAAGTCTAAAACCTCAGAGCTGGGCCACCAGAACCCCCCAGAGCAGGTCAGGTCAAGCACTGAGGAGAGTGTGGATGAGTTTATCTGCCTAGGCTGCATGCAGAGATCAGATGCCCTCTGATAATTAGGAAGCTATGAAGGCCATGTCTTGTCTATCGATGCAAAAACTTCTCTGCACTGAGACCAAGTTCAGGGTCTATCAAACCTGTGTCCTACTTGCATTAATGTATGGGTCAGAAACCTGAACCCTCTTATGGGCAGTCTTGTAGTGGCTAGAGAAATTCCATACGTGCTGTCAGCGTCAAATCCTGGCCATAAAGTGGTTTGACTTTGTGTGAAAATATCACAGTCTCACAAAGATCTGGCCTTTCTTCCTTTGTTCCAAGCAGCGTCGCATGCTCTTCAGCAATTTCACCAGGGTGGATGGAAACCTCAGCTTATCATGTTCTCAACTCTCCATCGATGTGCAGAGGGGAGCACATCCTGACCCCACCTGGTGAATTCTCAAGATTAAACCAAATGTGGGAACTTCACTCTACAATGCCTGGGACAAGACCATCAACCATGGTCACTCTGGCTGGTGGGAACAGTCTTTAGTAGACTATGCATGTTTGATGATGATGATGATTGATTACCTATACAACTGTTACTAAAGGGTAAAAAGAAAGAGGCAGGTCCAAGGGTGTGTATGTGGGTGTGTTGGTTTCTGGACAGTTGTGGGTGGGGGAGGATCTCAATGCAGTTGTGTATAATTGTGTGTGTTTGTGTATGTGGTTCTCTCAGTGCAGTTCTGTCTGCGTAGTGCAGCTTTGTGCATGATTGTCTCATTGGGGAAACGTGGCGTTTCCACTGTTGATTTGTGTAAGGTTGTATCAGCTTAGAAGTGTGCAAGGTTGTCTGTGTGCTGGGATATATGTATATACATATCAATATCCATTGTGATTCATATCTCCATGTAATATGTTATAGGTCAGTGAGGCCTGGTATGAATGACGCGTGCTTGACATGAATACGTGCTTTGCAAGTTGGCAACCAAAGCAAGGACATAAGGCCAAGGACTAGTAGAACTATTTGTATAAAAACAATCTTGTTATGTTCCAAGAAAAATACAGAGAATCAGCAGAAAAGGAAACAACACCAGCTGGACTGATATAAAATTGTATACGAATTGGAGTCAATGGCATGCCTTGGATCATGGCAGCCCGCCCAAGATTTTCTCTTTGGAGTTGAGTGGGTAGAAGGCCTAGTAAACAAAGGCAAAGAACCAATGATGCATCAGAATGGGTTATAAATGGTTGCCTATGATTTCTGCAAATCAGAGTCATTGATTAATCCAGAGTCCCGTGTGGATATAGATGTGGTTTTCGCTGGCTCCCCGCATCTTATGAACTTAGGATCAGAAAGAATCTCAACTGGCCTTTGGGGCCATTCTAACCTTTGGACTCTGACATAGTATGTTTGGGGTGTGAACATGGAGTGAGTAAGGTTTGTTCTGTAATCAATAACGAGCATTTAGAGTATTGTCCAGTATCTGCCTGCTCCCCATCCCGTAGGGAGACCTCTATTGTGGGGTCCAACGTCTGGTGAAGAATGCGGAGGCGGGAGAGATATTAAGGAGTGATGGATTTTGAGACGGGGTCTTACAGTGTTGGGGGAGTCCTTATTTAAGACTAATAAGGGTGACTCCTTATTTGTGAAATTTGTAAAAATTTGTGCCAAAAAAACACGTGGGGAGGTACCATGTGGTGTTAGTGTTAGAATGTTAAAACACTGTTTAGGAAGAGAAGTAAAGGGGTGGAAGAGGCACCCCAGTGGACTAAAGTTAAAACCCCTTCTCTTAGAGAAGGAGATTATTGCATTTGGGACGTGCCCTTGGATGGAAAGTGCAGTGGAACCAGATGTAATATTTGATACCTTAGAAAACATGTTTGAGAAATATGTGCAGCTGTACAAGCCTAATGCCAGTAAAAAGCAAGCTGCCGTAGTATGGCTATTGTGGCAAGCTGTAAAAAAGGCAACTGCATGTAAGGGGGAAGTCTGTGCAGAGTTACAAACATTACAGGAGAATTTTAAAAATTTCCAGGAAAATTTGGAGCAGGAAGTGAGGCTGGCACAGATAATGCAAACTCAGAACAAATGGGGAAACAAAATAGGGAATTGGAGAAAAGAATGATGGATTGGGAAAAGATCAAAGCAGACAAAGATAAATTAGACCAGCAAGTGATAGGAATGAAACAGTTAATTCAAGATTTGACTAAGGAAAAGGAAGAGGAGATCGCAAGTGTTTCTCACAGGCTGTGCCAGAAAACTGTAGCAGCATTGAAAAAACAAGTGAAAATACAGGAACTGCAGGTTGTGGCTGTGTGTCAAAAAGAGAGAGATTTGGATTTGGATTCCAATGATATTTGCTATGGAGAGGATCTGCGAGGGGGTCCAGAGAGAAGGGAATTTGATCAACCTCGAGAGGGGCTTTATACTAAGTTGAGGGAAGAAATAAGAAACTTCCTGGGAGAGCCTAAGCTAGGAAAGTCTGTAGCAGTGATCGAACAGAGATCAACCATTAAGGATACAGCGGGGGAGATCGTGTCAAAGGAGACACAAATAATTCCTGCGAGTTCATCAGACTTACAGTTGAGGTAAAGTCATTAGGCCCAGTGGATATAAAAAAATTAGCTACATGGCTAGTACAGTGGGCAGAGTTAGGAGGAACAGAGAATTTAAATATGAGTGAATCTTATAGGTTAATCAGGGCAGCTCCCACTGGAGAGATTAGACAGGCAGCAGATGGAGTGAAAAATGCTTTGGACAGGTAGCCAGAAACCCACCAACTGATACCATAATTTATTGTGCTGTTAAGAAAAGAGAGAAGTCAAAGACTCATGAAGGTATTATCCAGTGCAGATTACATGAAGCCTGGGGATTCACCCAGGATTACCTGTTAAAGAGAATAACATTGGGATTATTGGCTGGAGAAATACAACTGGTGACTAATTCCAGGGCAGAGGTCGCCAGACATCTCACAGCTGATTCTTTGATGGCAGTTGATTTGAATCAGAGGGAATTTTGGAATGACGTGTTTGAAGGACTGGATAGAAATTTATTAGGGATGTCTACTAATTTGGTGAAGCAAGCAGCCCAGGATGAGGGGTTAACTGTTATGAATGCAGTGGAGCATTGGATAGTTTGCCAACGAATGATGCCAGGAAAGCCAGGTAGAAGGATTGAAACCCAGAGTACCTTTTGATGAAGCAATAACATATTCAAATGAGAGTGCTTATAGATCAGGATACCATGAGAGAGGAAGAGGCCGTGGTAGAAGACAAAACACCCCACCCCAAAGAGGTAGAGGGTGGAATAATCAAAATGAGCCCCAGAAGGGAGCAGATGTGACTTGGAATATCGCTTGGAGGTATTTGAAATTGAGGGGAGTAGATATGGAAATGTTTAAGGAGCAGAAAAAGGTTGCAGCCGTGCAAGCTGAGGGTTCAGGGAAACCCGCTCTATGGGGAAGCCCCGATGACAAGTAGCTCCCACTGGAAATCGGCCCTCAGGAGTGGGAGATGGTAACTAGACTAAGATGGGATTCAAAGGGGAGGCCAAGGACAACTGTCACTGTGGGAGATAATGGACCCGAAGATCCCTATTGGATAGTGGGACTGGTGTAAATAGAAGTTGTGATTTGACTCGATATGTGTCAGAGATTATTACAGCAGCCTCCTTTATTGGGGAAGGGTGACAGGAAAAATGTATCATTCAATAGAAATAGCTACACTGAGAGAGAGTGGGGGATGTTTCTTGTAAAGAACAAATGCTTCAGATAGATCCAGCAGCTAAGCCAGTAATATTGGGGACTCCGTTTTTGAAGAGGAATCGGTTGGTTTTGGATTTAACTCATGCAGTTCTGTGGCGTGTGCCTGGCTGGACAGAAAGCGGCCTGACAGCCGGGTACATGCCAAGAACATGTGCTGCAGAAGCAGGGGAGGAGATTATATTGGATCAACAGGATGTGGGGAAAGGAGTTCCCCCGCGTAGGGATTAAGAATAAAGCGGAATGTGGTCAAATCGAAGCCTGTGTTAAAATCGTGGGGGACAAAGTGCCACCGCAGAGACAATAGAAATCTCCTGTGCCAGCAGAGGCAGGAATTGAGAAAACAATGGAATCATTAGAACAACAGGGAGAGTTTAAAAAGGGGAATTCCTCATACAATAGCCCAATTTGGCCAGTATTAAAAGCCTCAGGAGACTGGAGACTGACAGTGGATTTTAGACAAATTAATAAAGCTGCCCCCCCCCCATGGCACCAATAGTAGCAGATCTACTTCAAGTGATGGCAAGAATACAGGGGGCCCCTAAATGGTTCCCTGTCATAGATTTGGCAAACTGTTTTTTCGCCATCCCATTGCATCCCGATTCCTGGGCCCGCTTTGCGTTGACTTTTAAGGGACAACAGTACTTGTTTAAAAGAATTCCCCAGGGCCTACACTGAGCTCCAGCTATTGCACACAAACATGTGGTGCAAATGCTGGATCAATTATCCAAAGAGGATCGGGAGAATGTCACCTCTTATGTAGACGACATATTAGTTGGGGGGACACTGAAGAGGAGCTGGCTGAGTGGACGAAAAAGTGTTGTAGACTCATCCAGGAAACAGGTTTCAAGGCTAATAAAGAGAAAGCCCAACTAGTGCAGAGGAGAGTGAATTATTTGGGGGTGACCCTCGGGGAACAAGGAATTCAGGTAGATCAACAAAAGGTGAAATCAGCAATGAATTTACCAAGGCCAGAGGATTCTCATGTGTTGAGGGTGATATTAGGAGGGTTTAACTATTTAAGGAAACACATGGACTTTTGACACTATAACTGTCCCTTGTGGTGTTTACTAGAAAAGAAAGGTGAGTGGGAGCGGGGGCCTGAACAAGAAAAAGCTTTCTGTCATTTAAAACAAGCCTTGCTGCAAGCATTGAAATTTCCAGATAAACAAGCCATTTGTGATTAAGTTGGCAGCAACCCAAGAAATTCTAGCCTCAGTACTAATGCAGGAGATTGACAGGAAGTTAATACCAGCCAGGCTCCCAGTAGAGAGTCAGGAGCCGGGCAGCACCCGGGCTTCCTGCGGGGAGTCGGATGGGCACAGCCCAGCTCGGAGTGAGGAGTGGGGAGCCCAGGCAGCAGCCCAGATGGGATCGGGGAGCTGGTAGAACAGGGGCTAGAACCCTCCACCCACCCCAGGCCACAACCCCAGCTTCTGAGTGGCTTTCTTGTCAATGTCCTGGCTCCAGCACAGAAAGAAAGGCCACCAGCTGATGTAAGTAGCCCTCAGTGTCTACACGGACACTGCGTCGCCCTAACTACACCGACATTAACCCTTCGCCTCTCGCCGAGGTGGAGTTATGATGTCAGCGTAGTACGGCACTTTCATCGGCAGGACAAGGCTGCAGTGTGGATACTGACATAATTACGTGGATGTAAGCTGCCTTACGTTAATCTAACTCTCTACTGCAGACCAGGCCCCCGTGTAGCCAGGGGTCTGTCTTTCTCTCCCTGTGTAGGTTTTCATGTCTCTCTGTTTCAGTGTAGGAGTGTGTGTGTGTCTCTCAGCGTCGCTTTGTGTTTCCCTGTCTGAGTGTAGTTGTGTGTTTGCGAATTTAGTTGTGTGCCTCTGCATGTCTCAGTGTAGCTGGGGGCTTGTGTCTGTCTCGGCGTGGCTTTGTGTGTCTTTTTGTCTGAATGGAGTTGGGTGTGTGTGGCTGGCTCAGTGTAGCTGTATGTGTTTCTGTCCGAGTGTATCTGTGTGGGACTGTCTCAGTGTCATTGTGCTTGTCTTTCTGCCTGAGTGTAGGCATGTGTGTGTGTGTCAGTGTATCTCTGTCTGTTTGTCTCTGGTCTGTGTAGTTTTGTGGTTCTGCCTCTCTCAGCGTAGCGGTGTGTCTGCCTCAATGCCACTTAGTACAGTAGAAGCCCAGAGTTTCAAACACCTTGGCAACACAGGTTGGTTGTAACTCTGAACAAAATGTTATGGTTGTTCTTTCAAACATTTACAACTGAACACTGACTTAATACAGCTTTGAACCTTTACTATGCAGAAGTAAAATGCTGCTTTTAACCATCTTAAATTAAATGAAACAAGCACAGAAACAGTTTCCTTACCTTGTCAAATCTTTTTTGAAACTCTCCCTTTATTTTTGAGTAGTTTGCGTTTAACACTATACTGTAGTGGTTTTTTTGTTGGTTTTTTTTTGGTCTCTGCTGCCTGATTGCACTTCCGGTGCCAAATTGATGTATCGATAACTTGTCAGTTTGTATCTCTGGTGTTGGTAATGCCGAGGTTCTACCGTATGTCCACCTATGTCAGTGCAGCTGTTGATGTGTCTGTCTGTCCATCTGTCTAATTCAGTTTAGTTTTCTTCCCTTCTTTCTTTGACTTCTCCCTGCATCTCCCCTGAGTCCAGTCCAGTCCCCTCCCCAGGGCTGGTCTCACCCTCCCTTCACATGACACTGATTGCACTTCTCTTTACTCTGGCACTCCGCTGCTTACGCCGCAGGCGGTGCCTTCAAATCTCACACCTCCTGGCACAGGCTTCCTGCACCCTTCACTGCCTTCCTTCACCCAGCCCAGGATGGACCCCCTGCCTCTGCTCATCTACCTGTGCACAGGTAAGTACTGGCCAGCAGGATGGGGTAAAGCTGAAGTCCCCCATGCAAGATGCCCGGTGTGTACATCTCCAGCAGGGGGATGGAAGCAGCTGGACTGTCAGGACACCTTGGTTCTGACCCTGGCTCTGAGAGAGGAGTGGGGTCTGGTGGGTAAGAGCAGGGAGGGGCTGGGAGTCAGGACTCCTGGGTTCTTTCCTTAGGACTGAGCAGAGGGTGCAGGCAGAGCAGGTGTTCCTCCCCCACTGAGCCTCAGCCCTTCTAGCTGGTTTGGGTGGGTAGCTTTGCCCAGGACCCCCAGCAGTGGGGTCAGAGCACTTCCCGAGAGACCCCCATCTGCCCAACTGCTCTGGTGCAGGCTGTGCAGAGATGCTGATCTCACCCAGCAATTTCCAGGAGTGGCTGGAGGGGATATCCAGGGGGACCCATCAGGGATCTGTAGGGGGTTTGGCTTGGGGGATTTGGGTGGGGAAAAGGGTAACATGGTTAGTTGGGGGTGGATTGGCACTGACTTAGCTTAACAGACCTCTCACACTGAACTCCTGTCTCCCAGCCCCACCTGCTCCAACCCACCAGAGCCCACTCCCCTCCCAGGGCTGGGGCGAGAACCTAGGAGTCCTGATTCCCAACCCCACTGGCTCACACCCACCAGACCCCACACTCCCTTTAGAAAGGAGTGTCTCTCTCCAAGTTTCCCAATTTGAGTTCTCTAATACAGACAATGGTCCTGACTCTCCCATCCCCCACCTCTCTAGACTTTTGGTCAGAGACGCATTTGTCCAAGTCACTCCCCCCCCCCCACACCCTGTCCCAACACACCCCACGCAACTCCCTTGGGCCACCCACTTCCTCAGAGCGGTGGTGTCATCACAGCTGTGCTTTCTAGGGTGGAGGAAAGTAATTGTAACTTACCCCCTGCACTTGCCTGGGGATAGAACTCAGGAGTCCTGATTCCCAGCCCCACCCCCGCTCTAACCAGCAGACCTCTCTCCCCTCCCAGAGCTGGGGGTAGAATCCAAGAGCCCAGCACCACCTCCCCTGGTTCCCCTTCCCCAGCCTCTGCAGCGCCTGACTGGTGCCCCTCCCAAGTGGGTTGCACCAGAGGACGAGTTGTTTCCCAATTGCTTTGCAGAGCCTTGTAGGCGTGGGGGAGCCACTCTGGTACCAGCAGAGTCAGGACTAGGCAGAAGATGGAACAATTGCTTAGAGCTCCGAGCAGCTCAAGGGGGCCTAGGGTGACCAGATGTCCAGATTTTATAGGGACAGTCCTGATTTTGGGGTCTTGTTTTTATATAGGATCCTATTACCCCCCACCCCCGTCCCGATTTTTCACACTTGCTGTCTGGTCATCCTCAGGGGGCCCCCTATTTTGTTTTTTAGCATGTGTTTGTATGTGGGGGGAAATATGCCTGCTGAGGGCCCCGCCTGGAGACAGAGCAGCTTGGGACACTCCCTGTGAGCACACACACACCACACCACACACACTTCCTTCCTCTGGAAAGTCTTGCCAACCCACCCCCCGGACTCCTGGGTTCTACCTCCAGCGATAGGAAAGCAGTGGGGGCTAATGAAGGAGAGTGGGAGGGGGGTGGGGTGGGCATCAGGACTCCTGGGTTCTTCCCCTGGCTCTGGGAGGGGAGGGGGGTTTTGTGGGTTGTCATGGTTACTTACCAGAAGGCCTCACACTTTGGCCGAGCTCACTGAACTTTCTGGGGGCTCCTCATATTCTCCCAGCCCCCTCTCTTGTGGGACCCCCCTGAAGCCCTCCACCCCCTGCCAGGGGCTCTGTATGCCCATTATTCCCTTTCTCCCCTGTGTTCACCAATCCCCCATGATCTCTTTCCCGCTCCCCTTCCCCCATACAAGAGGACCCCAATCTCCCCCACCTGCCAAGGGTTCTGGGGGCTCCATTTCCCCATCTCCACCCCCATGCCAGGATCAAGTGTACATCCCCATTGCCCCCTTCTCTCCCCCCCCCCACGCCTTCTCTCTCACCATTCTCGGTTGATCGGTTGTTCAGGGTGTCACATGTGATGCCGGGATGAGGGATGGCGGAAGGTGTTCTAGACCGAGCTAGCCGAAGCTGCAGGCTCTGCTAACCAGATGCCAGGGGGTCTGTGTGTCCGCCATTTCCCTCCTTCCAGTTTTCTGGTTTTCCCCAAACCCACAGGGTTCTGCCCCCTTGAGACCTGAAACATTCCCTGAAATTTTGGACGTGATCAGATGTGACGTTCAAAGCGCATCATGACGCAGACAGACACACAGATACCCGGACTCCAATTCTACGTATTCCTGTAGGGCTCAGCCAGGGACCAGCACCCCACTGTGCTAGGGGCTGTACAAACACAGAGCAAAGAGATGTTAGAGCAGGGTGCGGGGGAGGGGCTGGGAGTCAGGACTCCTGGGTTCCATTCACTAATCTGGGAGGTGAGTGGGCTTTGGTGGGTTGGACCAGAGGAGGCTGGGAGCCAGTCCCACAGCCTGGAGGGGCTGGTGCCTAAGGCCCACCACTGGCCCCACTCTGCATAGGGGAAGCTCTAATGGATGAGTGTTTAACCCCTGCAGTGCTGGCACCAAGCCGTGGATTCAGCGTGGACGTGGAGGTACCCATCACCTTCAAGGAGGCAGCAGTGGGGTTTGGGCAGAGCGTGGTGCAGTTCGGGAGTGCCGGAGCCGGGGGGTAAGGGCCAAACGTGGGCTCAAGGCCCTACATGACTTCTGCCCACCCCTGAGGGGCCTGTCTGTCTGGGCTGCCCTGCCTGGCCCCCCCCCCCAGTGATGATGGGGCGCCCCTGAGCCCCTCTTTTCTCTCTCCCACACAGGCTGCTCGTCGGGGCCCCACTACAGACGGGAGAAGTGAATGAAACTGGCAAAGTCTACAAGTGCGACCCGGGCTCCAGACGCTGCCAGGAGATCCCCATTCAGAGTAGGGCCACCCGCTGCTATGGGGTCCAGTGGGGCAGGCTGTGTGGGGAGGGGACTTGGAGCCAGGTCTCCTGGGTTCTATTCCAGTTTCTGGGAGCAGAGTGGGGTCTAGTGGTTTAGAGAGGTGTTGTGTGGGGAGGCTCGGAATCAGAATTTGTTCTGTGTCGAGCTCCGGGAAGGAAGTGGGGTCTAGTGGGTTAGAACAATGGGGGCTGGGAATCAGGACACCTGGGTTCCATTTCCATTCAATTGCAGGGGTATGTACAATGACTTCCTCTCCTCCGCCACCTATCTGGGAAGGAATTGAGTCAGAAGAGCCATGTGGGGGTGGGGGGTGGGGAATGACTCAGAGAAATGATGGGCTAAACATATCCAGCCACAAGATTTCTCAACCTGGTGCTGGCGTGTGTTTCCTCTCAGGGCCCCCGGATGCAGTGAACATGTCCCTTGGATTGTCACTGGCTGCCCGAGACTCCAATCTCCTGGTGGGTACCACATCCAGAGGGGTTGGGGGTTTCTGGAGTGGCTTGTTTATACCAGGGTATCACCCAGAATTAAGTTCAGTCATTTGCCCAGAATTCCACAGACTGGTCCTCCCCGCAACAATGTTTGTGAGATAGATTGTCAGCGTGGTGATGCCCTAGAGTGGGTGATAACCTGGTGATATCACAGCCACCTGAGCACCTGGGGAGCTACCATCACAAAGGAAGATGTGACCGCGGGATGTGAACGCCTGTGCGCTGTCACAGGGAGGTTGATAACTGGGTGACATTTGGAGGGAGGATGGATTGATATTGCAGGAATGGGTGAGGTCACCACAGCTAGAGCAACTGTGTGGTGATGTCATGGTGGGGATGGTAAGTGGGGGAGGTCACTCTGACTGGAACTGTGCATTTTCAAAATATTATTTATTGGGTGTATTATGGTAGTGCCCAAGAGCCCCAGTCATGGACTAGGACCCCTTTGTCCTAGGTGCTGTACAAACACAGAACAACAACACGATCCAAGGGTGCTTACAAGTGTAAGCGGGGGAATGGTCCCGCTATTGTGGGGAAATTTCCTGAC